TTCAGACACAATTTTAGTTTTCTTAATTTTTGCAAACTTATTTGATATTATCCTTAGAGAATTTCAACGAGAGCAAGAAACCCCTTAAAGAGTTAAATAAATATCCAGAAAATCTACGAACAATCAAAAAGCTTGAAAAATATATCCTTTCTTAATTTTTAAGCGAAAGAAAAAAATTTAAACTTCAGAGAATAGAAAGTTTTGAAAAAAAAGATTTAAGTTTTAGTAAATTTAACAATACACATATACAATAAAAATAATACCCATTGCAAACAAACAAAACAAGTAGTACAACAATAAAAGGAAAATGGACAAATTGAAAATTTGAAGTTTTGAAAAAAAAAAACGGAATAATGGAAACAAGAAAACACATTTCATACAAAATGCTAAAGTTAAATAGGCCCTTTACTTTTACTACTTACTTATGAAAAGCCAAAAGGAAGATGTTTAAGAAAAAAGACTTTTAAATAAAAAATGGAAACACTTTAACTATTGTTGTCATCTAATAAAAGGATTATAGAAAGGGACTTCATTCCCTTCAGTGCATATAGAAAACTTGTATGTATTTGTGTTGATATTTATCATTAGTAGCAAATTTATTTTCTTAGAAAACTTTCAATGTTTTATGGGTGACATATGAATATGTCAAATACCTTATATTGTTAGATTTCAAATATAAAAATTTGTTAATTCTTAATTGTGACTTTAACTGGTTATAACCTTCATATAAAACTTAACCTCTTCCGATATAATAATGTAGGGCACTATAAGTTCGCATTTGACCGACTGTAGTTTTTTCTTATTCAATTTTAAAGATAGCTAATCCAACAACAAGTTTGAACTGATAAATTATAACAAATTGTGGTCGTTATTTTTCACCTAAACAATAGAAATGTGTTTGTATTTCTTAGAAATTTCTTCATTGTATTTAAGAAAAGAGGAATTTATACAAAAGTATACAAAGACGTTAGTCTAGCTTCAAATGTTAAGGAAGATTTCTATGGAAAAAGTTTTTTTTTTAACAAAGGTGAGAAATGTGAAATAGTCAACATGTTGATTTAATTTTTTTAATTATATTTTTGTCTATAGAAAACTTTGTCTATTTAAGTTTAAATTGAAACTAATGCCATTATTAGCGGTTAAAGTTTAAAGAATTTTGAAATGAAAATTATTATTTTTGTTTAGATTATATTAATTTAGAAATAAGTTAATTTGTATGTATTTGTTAATTTCAGAAAAAAATATCTTCAGTTTGCGAGGTGGTGTATTAAGGAGACCTTGCGATCTGTTAATAAAAATCGTTTCTACATGTTTTCTACAGAAATTATTTTAACAAATTATATTATAAAATATCAAATTTAAACGTCAAATTTACTATAGCGAAACTATTTTAACTGATTTTTTCGAAAATATTTGTAAATATTTTTAAAAGTAACATTTCAACTTGTTTTACATATTATATAGATAGATTTTATAGAAGATGTTTTTATAAATTTTCCAAAAGAAACATTTCGACAAGTTTTATGTAGAAAACATTTCGACATTTCCTATAGAAAACACTTCTTCTTTATTTCCTTTTAAAGAAAACATTTCGACAAGTTTTCTACAGAAAAGTTTTAGAAAAGTTTTCTGTAGAAAATAGTTCGACGAGTTTCCTTTAGAACTAATTTTGACAAATTTGCTATAGTAAAAGTATTTTAATTGATTTTGTAGAAACTATTTTATATATTTCTCAAAAGTAACATTTCGACTAGTTTTACATAGAAAACGTTGCAACAAGTTTCTTATATAAAAAAACTTCTTCTTTACTTCTTTCTATAAAAAGTATTTTGATTAGTTTCCCTCAAATAAAAATAAAGAAAACTTTTCGACAAGTGTTCCATGGAAGTAGTTCCTAAAACTATTCAAATTTTCAATATAAAACATTTCGACATGTTTCCTATAGAAAACATTTCATCTTTATCTCCTTCTTCAGAAAACATTTCTACAAGTTTTCTACAGAAAACATTTCGACAAGTTTTCTATAGAAAACAATTCGACAAGTTTCCTTTAGAACTAATTTCGACAAATTTACTATAGAAAAAGTATTTTACCTGATTTTGTAAAAACTAAACTAAAAAACTTTTCATTTCTTCTTTCTATAGAAAGTATTTTGATTAGTTTCTCTCAAATAAAAATTAAGAAAACTTTTCGATAAGTTTTCTATAGAAGTAAATATAAGATAATAATTTCGACCAGTATTTTGTAAGAAACATTTGGATCAGTTTTTCAGAAAAAGTTTTGAGAACGTTTTTAAACCAAACTTTTCTAAATAAAAGTAGTGATTTTCTTAGTTACTCTTGTAATCATTACGATAAGAATCCTTAAAATCCTTAGACACTAATTAAAATTATTAAAAAAATTTTTAAATTTCCTGCAAAGATTATCGGTCATTATAGTTTTGTAATGTTTTACATTAAAAAATAAATTCCCTTAAAATAAACATTTAACTACATAAATATGATAAGAATTCTTTAAAAGTTTTCTTTTTCAAAACTTTATAATTAATTTGCACTGAAAAAAATACCAGATTCATCATTTCAGCTTTATTCTACACCACCAAAACAGTAATATTTAATGATGCTGCTACTTTACGTTTTTTTTTTTTTTCATACAGCATTTTTTCACTCTGATAATTTTCTAAAACTTTATCATATTATTCAAAATGAAATGAGAAAATACTGTATATAATCTTTTTCTATTTTCTTTTCATTTTGTAAATTTTAAAGTGGATTTTCATACAAGAAACAAAAATATACTCAAATCATTTTATTATTTCATTTTTTTTTTTTTGTGTTCTCACAGCAACAACCTGATAAATTCACGTAAATTTGCATAACTTTTAAATAAACAACATCAGCAGTGTTAGCAATAACAACAACAACAACGGCGTCATCGTTGGCAACAACATCATCATTGAAAATCATTTAATGGTAATAATACGTCGTGGCAAGTAATAATAATGCGAGTAAAACATGTTATAGTCAGTCCGTCCGTCCGTGTGTCTGTCTGTCTTTTTGTTGTATGGAAGAATATAAATTTAGTTGTTGGTGATGTTGTTGCTGCTGTTGATGTGTTGATTTGTTATTGTTCTTGTGTTTAAGCACAAATACACACACCCACCTAAAATTTAGACAATAAATGTACTTATAAAAGGGTGGTCCCGTTTATAAGGAGAAATTATTAAGAATCAATGTTTCCGACTGCGTTTTAGAAGGACCGTTTCCCTTTCAATCGAAGGACTAGTTTTTTGGCTAGTCTGTCAACTAGTTCTGACTTATCAGAGGACTGGTCAGTGACTAGATCTTTGAATATTCTATGAACTAGTCTATTGGCTAGTCTATGAACTAATCTATTGAACAGTCTAAGAAAGAATTGATTGACTAGTCAACGGTACGGTATATTGACCAGTTTGTTGACTAGTCTATTGACTATACTTTGGACTTGTATATTGACAAGTCACGGTCTATTGACCAGTATATTGACTAGTCTGCTCACTAATCTATTGACTAGACTATGAACTAGTATATTGACAAGTCAATGGACAAGTCCGTTAAATAGTCTATGAACTAGTATATTGACTAGTATGTAAACTGGTCCATTGAATAATCTATAGACCAATCTATGAACAAGTATGGAAGAATCCATTCACTAGTCTATAAACTAATCAATGCTGCGGTCTATTGACCAGTTAATGAAGTAGTCTATTGACTACGGACTAGTTAATTGACAAGTTAATGGAATACATAGTCTATGAACTAATATGTATATTGACTAGTCTATGAACTAGTCTATTGACTAATCTATGAACCAGTATATTGACCAGTCTATGTAAGAATCCATTCACTAGTCCATAAACTACTCTGTGATGCAGTATATTGGCCAGTTAATGAATTAGTCAATTGGTTAGTCTATTTACAAGTCAATGTACTACTCCATTGACTACGTATTAATCTAATCATTAGCCTATGCACTAGTCTATTGATTAATCTAGTCAATTGACAAGTCAATATGTAGACTAATCTATCGATTAATCTTTGAACAAGTCTAATATCTATAAACTAGTCTATGGACTAGTATAAATATGGAATAATCTATTAACTAGTCTATTAATTAGTATATTGTCTAATCTATCAACTAGATTATTGAATTTTCTATGGACAAGTCTATTGACAAGTTCCTTTCATTAGTTTCCGACAAAATAAAAACACATTGAGTCACCTCATTTCATCTCACAGCAGAAATTGTAGGAATAACTGGAACATTTTCGATTCAGTTAGGAAAAATGATTATATTTAGGAAGCACCTTAATATTTATATAAAACTCAAATAGGGTGTTTATTTATTTATTTAGCTTAAGCTACTTTATGAACATCAGCAACAACAACAAATCTAAATCGAGAAAAAAAAGAAAAACCTTTTTCCATTTTTTCCCTACGTTCTTTGTTTACAGTGTTCTGATGGAAATTTAAACTCAGTCGCACAAAAAAAAAACAGGCATATGGTGTATAAACAAATAAACAAGAGGAAAATATAAATGAAAAAGTGGCACAGTGGTAGCGAATAATAATATTACAAAGAAATAAAATAACTAAATAACGCTATAAAGAAAAATACAACATTTCCTTTTCGTAGCCTTGACTCCACTGTTAAATGTTGAACAATAATACACCCACTAGTTTATAGGTTTTAACATAAATTCTAGAAAAAAAAACAAAAACATTCAATAAAGCGGCAATAGCAAGAAAATAAAAATTAAAAGTTATATGTTTTTTTACTAACGTTTTTCCAAATGCCATTGCATGATATATGATTTAATGTTTTTTTTTCACTCACAATTCATTTAGATCAAATGAACAATAATGTTTTTAAAACGTGCATAAAAATACAAATATTTCATAGAGGGCGAGAGTTAAAAAATGGCTACCATTAATACAATAGAAAATAAAATAAACACTTACCTTTTAAATTGACTGAGGATAATCCGTATTATATCCAATTGTCAACTGTGACACAATTTTTCTTTTAGTTTTATACATTTACTATACAGCATGATTTACTGTAAAAATATTGATTGGAACATTTTAAAGTAGAAGAAAACGACGACGACATTACTTGATTTCCTCTTGTAGTTTATATCTTTATTTGTATAGCTTTACTTTATATTTATTTATTTAGGATACTTTTAGGACCTTTAATTTTTTTATTTCTTATTTTCTTTTCTTTTGTATATGTATTGTAGGTTATCATTAATTTTAATTTGTTTTAATAAATTAATTTTTGTTATATGTATTTTATTAGATTTTTAATTGAACACATTTTTTTAATTTATTTATTCTGATTTTTGTAGCATTTTTTTGTGTATATTTTCTTTTTAAATTTCAATTAAAATATTTATTAATATTTAAATTTAATTACCTTTGAATTGATTTTTTATATAAAATATTTTTATTATTGTTTTTTTCTACGTTTTGATTTGTATTACATAAAATAATCTCTTTATATAAATAATTATTTTGGGGATTTATGGAGTATTAATAAAATTTGTTTAATAATTAAAATTACTCATACGCGGTGATGTACGTTAGAGGGGTTCAATATAAAAATTAATTAGAAAAATTTTTTGATTGTAATTATTGCTCTGTATATCCGCTCATATGGTCGTCTATGTGTATGTTTGTCCTTATAAACATATGTCTGTCTGCCTGTCTGTCTGTCTGTCTGTCTGTCTGTCTGTCTGTCTGTTTGTCTGTTTCTCTGTCTGTCTGTCTGTCTGTCTGTTTGTCTGTCTGTTTGTCTGTCTATCTAACTGTCTATCTGTCTTTCTGTCTGTCCGTCTTTTTATCTGTCTGCATATCTGCTATCTGTCTGTATGTGTATAAGTCTGTCTGCCTGACTCAGACCATTAGACAGCTATTTACATCATTAACTTGTCTATCCGTCCTTTTGTCTATGTGTCACATTGGCGATTGGCTTTTGATCCATCTAGAGCGATATAGCGATATATTTTCAGTTTGTAATGCTTATTTGGTTTTAAAAATGGGAAGTATTGTTCTCTGACTTCACCCAGATGCCATACAAATGTCCTCCCTAAAATTTTTTTGCTCAAAAAAAAAAAAAAAGTCTCATATGATGAAGATTTCATTTTAAGCAGGTTGACCCACATATTTTGTTATGTATCAGACAATATGAATTCTTGTGAAGTTTTCTAATGTTATGATTTTGGATTAAAAATTACTCATACGCATTTATGTATATCATATGTTGACACCTCGTAATATCTCACGTTCAAAAACATTTTTTTTTTAATTTTATTAAAATCAGATTTAATTATTAGTTATTAAACAAAGAATTTGTTTAGTATAATTATTAATTGGTTTTGTCTACATATAGTTATTTGTTGACCACAAACATTTAAAAAAAATTATAAATAAAATCAATACTTTAAAGGCTAAACTTCTTATTTGAAGCCAAACATATGAACGTATAACACGAAATACAAATTTAATGAAAATATTAATTATGTTTACATCACATACAGTCATTACATTTACATTTTTCTATTGTAAAAATATATATTTGAATTTCTATTTTGATTCGACAAACTCCATTCCCCATCCTCCTTACTCGTGCCAAAACGTTCTTTCCCACCGTAGGCATGATTTATTTTTAACAAAAAATAATTAGTAGCAAATTTTCTTAAATTCCTTTTTCACATGTTTACACATGATGGAAATAAAAACAAGAGGAAACGAACGAAACAAAAATAATATATAAAAAAATACCCAGTAATGAAGGCAACGAAATATTTATTTTTTAATTAGTACAATGAAGCAAAAACTCAAAGAATTTTTTGTTGATTAATAAGAATTATAATGAAAATTTCGTATCTGTTTGTGTGAGTAGAATAAATATTAGGTTAAAGTAAATTTTAAATACAAACATATTATGTTACGTTACTTTTGATAATTTTGTTTAATAACAAATAATTTAGGGGATTTTCTTTTTCAAAGTTTACATACGAATTTAGGAATTTTGTTTAGCAATTAAATACAAATATTAAAGAAATTAATACAGTTATTACCAGAGAGTTTTTAATATGTATGTATATGTTATGGGTAAGTTTGCCAAATTTGTTACCAACGTCACAAACAACTAGAATTTTCTCGAATCTGGATGTTCTAGAAAATTAAGTCTGAATCGATTTAATGACATCCATTTATGCTTGATAGATCAGTTTAATATTTTGTAAAACTTATATATATGTATGTCTTTCTAAAAAGTAACGAATACCCCTATTTGTTATTTATATTTGATAAAGTAGAATTTTCTCTTCCAATTAAAATGCATTTCCGTTTTGTATGTATGAACATGATTGGTCTTTCCAAACGTTTGTTAAGAAGTCTGTATTCGACGTTAAATGCATTACAAAGACCTTAAGAGTAAAATATCAAGACTGAAAGATTATTACGCACAGCAAGTATTGAATTGTATTCAATTTAATCTATTTTTTCTATAAAAATGTTTAAATCTCTGTCATATAAAGAAATTAATGGAATAAACATTGAGAGTTTATAAGTATTTATTTTAAATATTATAACTCGATTTCTGTACAAATATTAGGGAGGTTAATATCTAACAAAAAGGAGGCTCATATTAACCGATCATGTCATACAAACGATCAATAAAAGCATACTTTTTGGTTGAACCGAACTAGGAATGCATTATCCAAATATGACTCCACATGAGGTTTTTGAGATATACTAGCTATACTCTGATATCTGGGTAAAAAATTTGTTTGGCTATCGTACCAAAGATTGAACTTATCCATTTCTACAATATTATTGCCGTTTGTGTGTTAAAATCGATTTTCTGAAGGCCCCAAATATCTTCTTGGTCTAAAAGGTTGAAGTAATTGTCTTTCTATTGCCTTTTCAAAAAATTTTAATCGGATTAAAGAAGTTAAAAATGATTTTTGGGGGGTTTCTCCGAAAAACTTGTTTATATATTGAGTCAATTTTAGCTGTCACACAGTGTTATTAGTTAAGAAAAAGTAATTATTTTCACCCACTTTTTCTTCATTTTGTCACAATCGGATTAATTTTTCGAAAGAAAAATATCGACTATTGACGCTACCAATTAAAGGTCTAACAAAAAGACAGGAATACAAAGAGAGTTGTAATGTATATTGATATATTAGCATTAAAATTAGCCTTTTCTGCTCCTATAATATATAAACGCTATCACATATACGTATAAGTAATTTATTCAAACTCATACGCACTGATGTTCATTCATTAATTTTGCTTTTTTGGACATTTTTAAAAAGTATAAAAGTTTTTAGTTTTTCCGTTTAGTTTAAGGCGATTGTAAGTAATATAAATTTTCTAAAATCAGATCAAACTTCATTTAATTTTAATTTAAACAATTTCTTTTACCAAACTTTACATTACAACACATGATTATTTTTGCTGATTTTTCAACCACACTTTTACATATTTAAGCAGTTTTTTGTGATGCCAAATAAAACTTAATACTACCTTTAACAAACTGTCATATAGTAGAAGGACAAGTATTTTATAAGGACTCTTGATTTTTGCATAAAAATAACCACGACTGGCAAGTTGTTCTACTCAAAAAAAAAAAAAAAATACAAATGAAATGCATAACAGACATTTCCGTTGAAAAAAATTTACATTTTCCACAATTTAAGAATTCTGCGACAAATATGTATATAATTATTATAACAATTGTAAAACGACTTTCGAGCAACAGGTGTAAAATGTATTTATTTCAATTTAATTTAAATTTTGCAAAGAAATATGAAATTCCAATGGATGTCATCCATTGAGAAGGGGAGGTGCTTGTTTCTTTTAGCTTGCTGAGTTATTTAATGGCAACAACAAAATTCTTATTTGTAGTAAGCGTTAATTTTTGAAATATGTATATAAGTATTAAATAACAAATAGGAAAATAATTTGTTTAATGTTAATGTAAACATATGTTAACAATATTTTGTTCATGTAAAATGTGTAATTTAATTTTACTTAATATAGATGTTTACCATAAGTACAAATGTTTACATGTATATGTATATATTTGCTGAGTAGATATTATACAATAAGTTTTTGTACTAATGTACATATCACAGTTTTGTAATAAAAATAGCTTAACTCAATAATTTTACTTATTTTTTTACAAAACTCGACTCTTTGTTAGCGTTGAATCTAAAGCCACACACTATAATGGGGAGGTTATTATGCGTTTGTTTTCTTAGTTTCGTACAAATTTCAATGATTCTGATTTTCGTGATCGGGCCTCATATGACCGTAGCCCCCATACAAAGTCTCCATCAGAAAATGACTCAATATTCACTTTTAAATACTAATATCACAATGAAGTACTCCAAAAATAACTTTAATGCCAATGTAAATCGCTCTACCAAAATTTATACGGATAAGACCATATTTTCATTTGCCCAGGGGTTATATTCTGAGTAGACTTAGCTGTGTCCGTCCATCTGTCCGTCCGTCCGTCGCATTTTTGAAGCTAATTCAATAAAATTTGGCACATGATCTTCTATTGGTTAAAGTATATCTGAGACAAGGTACAATTCAACTTAAATGCTTTATTATGGACACTAAATCACATTTTATTTTTATAACTGGTGTAGGGCCCGCCCGACTATAACTTCTTACTTGTTTTTAATTTGGTTTACAATTTTAAATTTATATAAAAATTCTAATTTCGATTTATTTCAAAAATGAAGTGTCATTATTTAGTTTAAGTTGTGACTGTTTTGTGGCAAATGCAAGATATGCAAATTTTTATATTCAATCAAGTGTAAACTACTTCTAGTACTTATGTCTATAGTAACATATTTTTTAATAAATAATTTTCAATATAAATGTTAAATTAACCATGAAATATATACATACATACTTTAATATTTCATGGTATAAAAATTAAAGTCGAAGTTTTAGATAATCATCGCGATTTCATAATAAATACAAGGAAAGTGAACTAAGCAACAGATTAGTCACTAGACTAGGCTGTAGACTAGGGAAAGGACTAGTTAAAAAAATAATCAT